TTAAAAAAGGAGGCGGTTTCCTTCTCCCCATTCCTCACACAATCCCAGTAGGAGCACCCTGACAGGAACTCCCCGCCTGCGACCAGACTCTGGCTCCCCGCGGCAGCCCCGGACCCAGCTGCCAAGCCACAGTCCGCGGGACGCTCCGCCCACCCGGGCACCGAGTCTACCGCGGACAGCGTGTCAGCAGCCCAGGCGCCCTCCGGAGCCCGGGGCGACCCTCCGGGGGGCAGTTTTCCTCCACACAGGAAGGAGGAGGCGGCCCTCACACGCGGCGCAGGCCCGCACGTGGCCTTGCCTCAGTCACCTCACCCTCCTCTGGGTCGGCCTCTGGATCCGCCTCGCGTGGTCGCGGGTTCAACAGCTGTTCCAGCTGCAGCGCTAGGGGTTGCGGCCCCGCCATGTTCACCAGGTCTCACTTCGCTCCGGGCCGCGCACGTGAACGTGCGGCCCTCGCTCGGGACGCTCTCTCCCCGCGGGGTCCTCCCTCCGGGAGGCGTCTCCCAAAGCCAGTCAGGAACCGCGCGGCGCCAGGCGCCGAGCTCCCGGCCGGCAACTTCCGGGAGGGGGCGGGGCCTCGGCGTCACTACTAGATTGAAGGCGGAAGCGCCCGGGAGGCTGGAGGGATTGTCGCCGTGCGGCCGCGCGCGTGCGCGTTTAGGGGCGTGTTGGGAGGCGCGGGGACGCGCACGGGTGCGTGGCTGACGCCAGCGCTCAGCGGGGACTGCGATGCGAGCGGTCGTTGAACCCTGGAATAAACTATTCCTCCAGATTTGTCCGAGATTTGCTTGGAAATAAAGTGTAGTGTAGCTGTGACCCGTGGCGGTTGATTTGGGAAGGAGGGAGTCTAGCGTAAGCGTCTCGAGCTTCAGGTGCGCTCTCGGGCATGCACTGACTGGGACTAAAAGCAGCTCTGGCATTTCTCCATTTGGAGGGGCCGGGCTTAAGACTTTGGCCCCGCAGCAGCCAGCATTTGGGAATCCTACATCAGAGATGTGTATGTGTAAGTGTACGGCAGACTGCTGGCATCTTTACTAATAGGAATAATTAGGAATCGCTATGGTTGTGCATAAATAAAGATTGATTATGTAGTTTCTCCAAGTAGCCTTGTCTGAACAGGGAAAAGAGGGTGGGGAGGGGGTTACTACTATGCACACCCATCCTATTGATGTCTCTGCTGTTCAAAGATGAGGGCATACTCAGACACTTGGAACTGATACACAAATACAGAAAACCTCAAGTCTACCATTAGAGGGGTACTGGTAGGCTCAGAATATAAAGACTTAATAAGATCTATTTAATTGCAATCAGGCACATGGGAAGACACAATCCTTTAATATTCTCTTCCCTCGTCAAGCATTCCCGGACCGCCCGCTATGTGGCAGACACTGCTAGAAGAGATGCAAAGATGAGTAAGTTAGAGTCTCTCCTTGGTGATCAGCCTAGATGAGCAGACGAACTTGTAAATAGAAGCAACAATAAGAGATGAGTGTGCTTACAGAGTCGTCTACCCTTCCAGTATCTGTTTGAAGTCACTTGTAGAGAACTGAAAACCCCTAAACAGAAACTGCCCCAAAAGGATCCAGAAAACAGACGTTAAAGATGTCCCATGCCCTTCTTGGGTACAGCCCAGGCTAATTGCATCCCACAGCTGAACTTCCTAGGGAACCTTCAGCTCCCCAGTGTTTGCTGGGGGACCCAAGGGAAGTAGGAAACCCTGATGTTCACAGTCGTCATATGCCTTCAGGATCAAGATCAACGAGAGTCCACCACTTCCGTGTGCCTTATCATACATATGTCCCTTCCTGGGTGGCTGCATAGGGGATGGAGACCTGTTTTAGGATTGACCTCCCCCACAAACATGGAAGGGAAAGAACGCCAGGCTAGAACTGGAGCACTCTGGACAGGGGACTCAGGCAAAAAACAAACAACAACAAAACACACACACACACCAAACCCTGCTTTTTACTGTCTGCAAGAAAATTCAAGCTAGAAAATAGCTTTTAAAAAAAACAAACACAACATATCCCCTGGTATTAAAGTCTGGTGCCCCTCTCAGAGCAAAAGCATGCTCCTCAGGCTGTGACAAGGGGCCATTGTCCTGGGCTTTGAAGGACAAAAATGTTTCTCTCAGCCCATATTTAGGAAATTACCTCCCACAATCCTCTTCCCTTCCTCTTTTGGACACTAATACTGCTTAGAAATCTGCCCTGGGGGTAAAGAAAAGCCAGAAAGGGGGAGGAAGGAAAGGCAGGTGAGAGACCATCTCTAAGCTGTCATGGGAACAGGACACAGCCACTCCTGTCTCATACATCCCAGGGCCCCCAAATGTTCCCCTGTTTTCTTACCCCATACTGAGGGTAGGGAGAGGATTCCAGGAGTGGAGAAAAGAGGTATAATTCTAAAATTTAAGATGCAATTGAGAGAAACTGAGGCATGGGGCAGGAGAGCAACCTCCCATGCTTTCTTTGTCCCCCACCCTCCAGTTTCTTGAGAAGGAAAGAGCGGTCTCCTGGTGGGGATAGGAAGGAGAGGAGTGTGGACTATGGGCGGACATATTTCAAAGACTTCACTTCCTAGAAGAAATGTAAACCTCTGACTGCTCTAGAGATGAGAACAGATGAGATAAGCAGGGGGATGGGAGTAAATGGGAGCACACTCCGAAAAGAACAGTCCTCTCCAGAGAAGGTCAGAGGGCCTCCCTCTGCTTGCCGCCTAAGGGCTGCAAAGTGGCAGACAGATGGAGGAATACCAGAGTATGGGCAAGGGTGCCGTTAGATACCACCCCACCCCCTTGTCCCAATCAAAGGCCTGTCACATGACCAAGAGTTTGGGGAAACCAGGTTCTTCACTGCCTCTCTTCTCTTTTCTGATACTACCCATCTCCAGGTCCCAGGCCCTGCCAATGCCTGTCCTGGCTTTCCTTGACTAGTCCTCCCCAACCTTGTCTCACCTTAAAGTAGCCCCCCAGATCCCCACAGCCTCCCCCAGCCTGGAGAAGTTGGGTGGGTGGGTTTCACCTCTCTCTCCCAGGGCAGATGGCGACCCTGCTGCTGGCACCCTGAGGGCAGGTGGCAAAAGGCACAAGCGGTAGCGCCTTTAAGATGGCTGCAGGGAGAAACCAGGCTACCAGAGAGGAGAGTGCACTCCTAGGCGGGAGGGGACTGCGTTGGTGTTCCCCTCTGCCTGGCTGGCTGTGTCTTTCTCTGGGAGCTCCTAGCCCCACCGGAGCTTCTGCACTCAGAGCTAGAGGGCTCTGGTGGGAAGGAGAACAGTTGCTGACATTTCTAGATCTCCTCTTCTCAGGCAGCTCCAAAATTGACTGCTAAGCTTTGCCACCTGTTCAGGTATTCGCTAGGGTTCAGGGGACAGCGCCAAGGCGGAAAGACTGAGCTGCTGCCTCGGAGCGCCCAACTCTAAAACGATTCTTATCAAGCACCCGATTCCACAATAAAGCTGCTAAATAATTCAGTAGGCTTGATAGGAAAATGCAGCTTCCCAATGAGGTGCAGTTAAATGAATGTCTTTAAAGGGGGTGGCTATAATAAATAAGTTGGCTATGATTTAACACAAATAAACGCTAAACGGGGAGGAAAAACAAACCCATCCAGTGATTGCATACAAAGCGGATAAAGAAATGTACAGTGTGCAGAGGCTAGGTGTTTCAGAAGTCTCTCCTGTATCTCATAAATTTGGATTTCTGCAAGGACACCATCAGATTCCTCCCTGATAGTCCTCCCCATTCGATAAGCCATCCTATGGGTGCAGTGAAATATTGCTTATTTTAAAGCCTTCTTGTCAGGCAAGATACAGTTGGTTGTGTCTTAACAAAATATGAAAACAACACTAGAAACTACATGCCTTTTCATGTAAAACCTTGATTTAAAAAAGAGGGGTAAGTAAATAACCCAGTGTGAAATCTAGGTGATGCGGAAAAGAAATCCTGGAACTCCAATAGCGTTTGATATTAAAACATGAAATACACACATGTATTTCATAGTAGATAAAATATTTAAATTCCTTCCACATTTAATGAAGGCTTGGAAGGGACTGAACCACTTTTCAGAACTAATGGGCAACTGCCAGTTGACATTTGATTTCTATATTGGTTATTTTTATCCATCTCTCAAAGAAACATAATATGTATCTGTACCAGCAAATAATTTTCCTTCTGGGGAACTTCAAATGTAACAAATACTATAAAACAACTATTTCATATCACTTCTGTGAAAGGGATTAAAGTATCTCACTTTTAGCTGTACCGTACATTCATTTTACATTATCTTTCAAACCACCAAATTAGAAAACAGGATTATCTATGGGAAATTGCAGGGAGTGCATGGGATCTCATGCCTAATCACAGACTATGGTTATTCATTTTGAGCCCTGGATTTTATTTCTATTTCAAATTCTATATTAACTTATCAGCAAAGATCTCTTCAACTGTGCCAGTTAAATCCACAGAATGCAAATCTGTAGTTAATAACAGCAGGAAGCCATGGAGAAAAGCTTGGCTGGCATTAGCAATGGGGTTCAACCACAACCAAGGTGAAAACAGATAACTCAGTCCTGCCTCACTTCTAAGGGGTCATTCGGCTCCCCATCTTGCCTCCCTTCTAGTTCTTAAAACATCAAATAACACACCGATTATCTAAACATCAGATTTTCTATTTTTATTAAAAACTCACAAATTTATTCAACATCATGTTTTCTTTCATACAGTGAATGGTCTAATATGCACTGGAGGTCACACAAGCTTAGGTTTATCAGAACAATAAAAGACATATGAGAAATTTAATATATAAAGAAAAAAGTAGCAGCTGCTGACTGCATATTTGACCATAAAATTTAAATATTTTGGACTTTTATTTTAAAGACACAAAAATAAAACCTGTGTGGGTCTATATAAGTCATATTAACAATTCCATGAATGTTCAACAGGACTAAAAATTAGCAAAGATGTTTTTTTTTCTTAAACCTTGTAACACTTTTTTTTTTTTAACACTTTCTCAGGTTGCGGTGCCAGGCACCTTTACAGTATTTGTGCTATAATTATTCTATTTGGCAAGTGTCTGAATATCGTGTTTTCTTTTTGCCTTGTGTAAACAACACCTTTTTACGTACTAGCACAGTGAGCTGTGAGCCCTGCAAATCTGTCAGAACATCTACAGGAAAAGAAAATGAACAATTTTGGTTGACTGCTCAAAACGTTTTGTTTTTGAACAAGAGGTTTCAAAACAGGATGTTATTAGTAAAACACTGAACTCCTGAATTTAACATTATACGTAAACAGTTGACTGTTTTTAGTTCAATAGTCTTTTTTAAAACTCTGTGTGTGTGTGTGTGCGCGCGTGTGTGTGAAAGTAGAATACTTTTCTTGTACAGATGATGTTCAAGTCATTTTACTGAGAGGTCTGGCTGTAGACCGTCCTATCCAGTGTGTCTGTGTGTATAGGTGTATAGAGCTTTGTGAAGGTAGAAGAGTTGATACTGAGGGCTTTACATTTAGAATTTTGCAATTTTGGCAAAAACAAAACAAAACAAAACCCAGAGAGACAAAATATATATATATATATAGTCCCACCTGATGCACAGCAGGTCGACGTTTCTGAAGCTATTAAGTTTGTTGGCGCTGTTGCTGAACTGAGACCAACACTATTAGGTTTCCCACAGCCAGAGCCCCCTGGGCTGGCCTGGGAGCGCCTGAGGACCGCTCACCTCCAAAGCCCGAGCCTGGCTGTGGGCGCAGCCTCCCTCCTGGCGTCATGAGCTGTGC